CACGTGTTAAAAAAAATCTTCTCTCCGTTAAACAGAAATAAAAAAATTTCAAGATGTTTCTAACCATAATAGTTTTAATAACTCATCTGTGTGTGTGTGTGTGTGTGTGTGTGTATATATATATATATATATATATATATATATATATATGTGTGTGTGTGTGTGTGTGTGTGTGTGTGTGTGTATATTTGCTGGAAGACCCCTGATTTTATCACAACAAATTAAAACATTGATTAGTTTTACCAACTGTCCTTTTCCAGAGAAAAAACTCCAAATGACAATATTTAATTATTGAAGAAATTTTCTTAGATCTTTATAGATTTAAGCATTTAACTCAAAACCATACCTAATAAACCCATGCCATGCAAACATTTCCAAACCATTATATAATACACAGAAACATTTGCAGAAAATGTGTATTTCATGTGTATGTTTAAAATGGGTAAGACTGTATTATGGTCCCTATTACACATTTATGGTTTATGAGCATCAAAAGTGGCGGATCTGTTTGGCGAAATATTCGACTGTGTGTCACCGCATCCCAAACGACTAAAACAATATAACTAGAGAAAGCTCCACTGTGCTGAGCGAGAGCGCTTCTCTACTGAACAGCGCAGCATCGATGGCGTAAGCGTGCATAGACCCGAATTTGATGCGAGTGCGGGCCGTCGGGGGAGACGGGATGGGGGGACAAACTGCTTTGGCCCGGTTCAAGGCAACTGTACATAGTGTGAGTACGCCTTAAATGTTTTATTGCAACTACATGCCAGTTACTTCTCATTTGAGTATTAGTAGACTGTCTGCTTAATATCTGCTGACACTGCTCCCTCAACAGATATTTAACTGACTATCAGTAACTTTGCAAGAACATGTCAACTTACTCTTAGACTGACCCCAACCTAACTGTTTACTTATAATCTAATGAGAACTAGTTGCCATGTAGATGCAATGTAGCTTAAATTCAACAAAATGTGTTAAAGGGACCATTAAAATAAAGTGATACCATTAAATGTATATATAAAATTAATTAGTATTTGTACATTAATTTCATAAACATTAAAATTATTATACAAATATAATGCTTTATTATTATCAAGATTTTTTTTACACTGTATATATGATAAAATTATAATGTTTTGCTGTGTTGTTGCAAATAAATCTCTGATGACCCTAGAGTGTGTGTGAAGTTTTAGCTTAAAATATGTCACAAATAATGTTTTATAACTCTCTGAAAGTTTTCCCAGAGATGGGTTGCAGCTGGAAGGGCATCCACTGAGTAAAAAATGTGCTGGAAAAGTTGGCGGTTCATTCCGCTGTGGCGACCCGGATTAATAAAGGGACTAAGCCGAAAAGAAAATGAATGAATGACCTTTCTGAAACGGACCCTTTTAGGCTTTGATTCTAATTGTGCTGTGTTGGTGACTGTCGCTTTAAATTTAAATAAGTTCTTTTTTTCAAAGGAAGGCGGAGTTACAGATGCCTATGTGTCAGCATAGTGGCCGATTCCAAAACAAGACTAACGTCATATGCTAATGAGGGAGAGATGGTCACTAGTGGGCGGGGCTTCCCCCTCTGATGATACAAAGGGAGAATGTCAAAGCGTTTCTGCAGAAGCGTGATTATAAAAATTATAATTAATACATTTGTACAATTAGTAGCTGCTTATATCCACCCACTTTGCCACACAACTGTGTTTAAACCCTTTATAAAAGTGATTTTTGCATAATAGGTCCCCTTTGAGATATTCCCAAGCATGCACACAAAGTGATTCATGACTCCTTATTTATTTCAGCTCAGCTTTTGTCTGCCACATTTTTGTTTTGCTTACTGATTGGAGCGGGTTATTTTCCGACCACGACACCTCAGAGTTATTTAGAGCCATGCAAAGGAAACACTCTAAAAGTGAAGGTGCTAATTAGTGGCAGGACAGTTGAGGAAGCACCGCTGCGAGAGTATTTCCAGCTCCTCGTTCTTCTCAAGGAGCTTTTTGCCACCTCACGGCAGACGTGTTTCTCGACTTGTTCATTAGCTCTCAGCGTTTGATACCAGGTTTAGTCGCATACACCAGAGATTCAGAGATGTTTGCCTCTATTCAGAGCTGCGATTGTGTGAAACTCTGAAGATTAGCGCGGTGCGGATGAAAGTCAGTCTTTTGAGTGCTTTTGAAATCGTGCCTCCAAAATAGAAGTTGTACACACCTCGCCAAAATACATAAAAGTTGATGTTAGTCACAAGAGAGGAGACGATATTCCCCTCACTTCGGCAGAAATAACACAGACACGCGCTGTAAACAAACACAGGAGGTCTTAAAGAAATATGGAGAGGGTTTAGGCAAGTTAAAGGCTGCTTGAGCCAGAAGTTGCAGAGACTTTTGTTTTATTACACTAACCGGCCACTTTATTAGGTACACCCTAAAGCTGGTTCAGCCAATCGGACTGGTCTGAGTATTTCAGAAACTGCTGATTTACTGGGATTTTCACACTCAACAATCTCTAGGGTTCACAGAGAATGGTGTGAAAAAAAGAGAAAATATCCAGTGAGTGGCAGTACTGTGGGCGCAAATGCCTTGTTGATGCTAGAGGTCAGAGGAGAATGGCCAGACTGGTTCCAGCTGAAAGAAAGGCAACAGTAACTCAAATAAGCACTCATTACAACCGAGAACTGCAGAAGAGCATCTCTGAACACACAACACATCTAACCTTGAGGTGGTTGGGCTACTGCAGCAGAAGACCACACCGGGTGCGACTCTTGTCAGCTAAGAACAGGAAACTGAGGCTACAATTCACACAGTCTCAGCAGAACTGGACAATAGAAGATTGAAGAAACGTTGCCTGCTCTGATGAGTCTCGATTTCTGCTGCAGCATTCAAGTGGTAGGGTCAGAATTTGACGTCAACAACATGAAAGCATGGATCAATCCTGCCTTATATTAATGGTTCAGGCTGGTAGTGGTGATGTAATGGTGTGAGGGATATTACAACTGAACATCATGTCATCGCCACAGCCTATCTGAGTATTGTTGCTGATCATGTCCATCCCTTTATGACACCCATCTTCTGATGGCTACTTCCATCAGGATGACGCGCCATGTCATAAAGTGTGAATCATCTCAGACTGGTTTCTTGAACATGACAATGAGTTCACTGTACTCAAATGGCCTTAAAGGTCACCAGCTCTCAATCAAATAGAGCACCTTTGTGATGTGGTGGAACGAGAGATTCACAACATGGATGTGCAGCCGGCGAATCTGCAGCAACTGCGTGATATTATCATGTCAATATGGAGCAAAATCTCTGAGGAATATTTCCAGCACCTTGTTGAATCCATGCCACGAAGAATTAAGGCAGTTCTGAAGATAAAAAGGGTCCAGCCTAGTACTTGTAAGGTATACCTAATAAAGTGGCCGGTGAGTGTACTTCCTACTGAACCTGAATATTGAGTTGGGGGCGGGGCTTTTCTTTAAATATCATTACCTTATATCAAACTAACTGCAAGAAGGGGCGTGGTTAAAAATACCATGGCTGAAGTCATCAAACTAACATCATCAGAGACGGACTAGGTCTTAAAACACAGAAGCTAATGGTCAGACAGCTAAACAATAGCAATGTTTGCTAGCAAAATAAACATTGTGCATTTTGATTACTCACACAAATAATTCGTTTCATCTGAACCTCCTGCAGGTCCACACAAGATCAAGTTCATCCCGGAGATGGTGGGTCCCATTCTGGAGATGACGCTGGTTCCGGAGATCGAGCTGCGAAAAGCCACTATTCCCATCTTTTTTGACATGATGCAGTGCGAGTTTCACTTCAGACGCTGCTTCCAGACGGTCAGTGTTCCTCTCACACATCAGTTTAACACGTTCTTGCTGTATGAAGAGCAGCCTTTTCTTTCAAATTCAAAATTGTTAGGTACCTTAGCCAAAACAAATATACAACAACAGCTTGATTAAAGGTGCTGTATGTAAGTGACTCTTCTAAAGCGTAGAAATACCATAATATGTTTGCAGATATTGAAGAAATATGCTAAGTGAACATTCTTGTTTATCTGAAAGTCAGATATTCTGCTTTGTATGTGCCGGAACAGCTGTTATTGTTTTGGTTCTATTAACCCGCCCTTGGCCAATTTAGCCAATTATACTACAGCTCCCTGAGTTGCATTGTTGTGATTCATTCAGTCATGAAGGATCTCAAAGCATGCGTCCATGACCGCAAATGCGACCTCCGGTGGACAGTAGCAGCCTCCGAAATGAGGATTCAGAGATTCAGAGTTCCACATGAGGTGGTTATTATAATAGCTTAAACATAACGAACGTAAACTTTAGGTCTTGTCTTAACAACACTCTACGTGACGAGATTTGCAGTGAGAAGCAATTTAGCTGTCTGACCAGACGCAACATGACAGTAATTTAAATATAGCCATTCGGAAACACAGAATAGTGCACTCACTGCCCTCTGACAAAATGGTAAGGTGTATAATCTAATTAATACATATTAAACCTCTTTAACATTATTAAATGTAGATGCTAAATCACTGATATGTGTTGACTTGCACAGTCACAGCTCTGAAGTTCAATTTCAAATGGTTTAATTTATTTTCTAGATCTGAGATGAACTATCTGCTGCTGCTTTCAGTAGTATGGCAATAAATGTCATGTGAAATGTCATTTAGACTCACATTATTAGCATTTAACACTGAATAAAACAAATTAGATGTACCTGAGGTGATTATTGACAGTTCTCTGTTGTTCAGATCCAAGAAATAGAAAAGTAGATTTAAAAATATGAATTTCTGGTGCTGGTTAGGACAAAAACTCTTTAATATCGAAAATATGCCTACTATCGCGTGCCGTTGCTTTTATTTAGAACACGACTTAAATCAGTCTTTTTTTGGTTTTGTCAGTCTGGCAACCTTCTCGTGCATGTTTTGAACCAGGGGTGCAATACCTAGTTCAACCACTGGGTTGCAGACTGCACCATGAAATTAGAAGGTTAGACATTTATTGAAATATTAAAGATGTAGATGACCCAAAAATCAAAATTCTGTATTTTATATTTGATTGGCAATGTATGGAAGTCAGTGACTTTCAGCTTTTCTCAAAATATCCTATTTTTTGTGTGAAACTCATAAAGGTTTAGGTTTAGGTTATTCGCACGTAAATAGGCACGTCAACATTTAAGTTTATTCGCTTCATTCACGTGTCACAATCCGCTTTATTCGCGTGTCAAATCTGCTTCATTCGCGCATAAAATTCACTTCACAACAGATGCAGATTTGTTGTAGAGCAGGGCTTCTGTCTGCCCGGAGACTGTAACTTTATTGCTAAATAGCTAACATGGATTTTATTGAGAGAATAACTGTGATTATGCGCTTTATAAAGGCTGAAAAACAGCATTGATTCATTTGGAGTCCACTAGATCCTTTCAGAGGTGCACCCAGCTCTGTGAGCTCATAAACTCCTCCAGAAACTTTAACTGGATGCTGGAAGCTTTCAGCGATGCTTCTGACTGAGCCAAGTTTGATGAACTGTTGTCGGTGTGTGCAGGAGGAGTTTCCCCCGGGACACCAACAACAGGCGCTACATCATAATCATGCCCCGAGAAGAGCAAGCTCCTGATTGGTTAACGTGGCGCGAATGTCCAGTAAAGTTTAGATTTTCGAACCTGAGCGGTTTGCGCAATTGAAGCACGTCAAATGTGCAAAACGTTCATTTCGCTCCACGCCATTCGCTCAATTCGTGTTATTTGCGCCACGTCATTCGTGTGTATCGGCCCGCAGGATGTCTATTCACGCCTTTGCATTGACTTTACTTAAAAATCAACATAGCATGTTCTTGCAAAGTTTCTTATAGTCAGTTAAATGTCTGTTGAAGGAGCAGTATCAGCAGATATTAAGCAAACAGTCTACTGATACTCAAATTAGAAGTAATTAGCATGTCGCTGCAATGCAACTTTTAGTCAACAAAATGTGCAATAGGGACCATCAAAGTAAAGTGTTTCCAATGTTTAGAACCAACTCGAGGGTGAGTAAATACTGAGTAATTTGTTTTGGGGGGTCATGTTGTGTGAACTGTCCCTTTTAGGCACACAATCTTTACATTACTTCAGGTTTTTCCAAGTATACTCTTCAAGTAAACAGTCACAACGTACTAATAGACATGTGTGGATTTTAAAAATAGCTAGTTTCCACGTCTTTGAAGGACCACTTCTGTTATGCACTTGAAAACATTAGTCTTAAAATCTATCCGTTGCGTTCTCAATTCATCACAGTATTATCTTAGTATGTGCCAAAACTCATCTTGCATACTATATAGTGCACAAATTAGAATGCAGTGGGTGTGTGACGTCCCGCAGAGCTCTTCATGTAGCTCAAAGATCACTGCAGGAAGGTTACGGTTCCTCGGCTTCCTCTGATACGCTTTGCTGCTATGATGATCTACAGATGTGAGAGTTCACTTTCATTTATTTTCCGAGTAAACTGCAGCAGGAGTTTGAGATGAGCCTCACAGGATCAGTGAGTATCTGCGTGCTCAGACCTGTCTGTCCTGTGGGACGTACGAGGATATCATTAAAATGAGATGCATACTGAGGGCTGCATAACGCTGTGGTTAATGCAAGTAATGACGCACTGAGTGTCAGTCACATCTTGTGCAGTGGATTTTGAGCCTTTGGTTTAATTAATGAACTATATATATAGTTTAGAGGAAAAGGTAATGGCTGGATTGAACGGGTTATTAAAGAAACTGCTAAACAGGCCTGTGTGTGTAGAAAAACACTTCAGCATCCTATGACCTTGGTCTTCACTGTTTAACTTGTCTTGTATTTTAAACAATTGTCTGTCTGTCTGTCTGTCTGTCTGGCTGTCTGTCTGTCTGTCAGTCTGTCTGTCTGTCTGTCTGTCAGTTCATTTGTATGTCTCTCCCCTCCCCATCTGTCTGTTTTAGCATTCGTCTGGATGTCTGCCCGCCCGTCTGTCTGTACAACCATATGTCTGTTTTCCCATCTGTTTGTTTTCTGTCTGTCTGTCTGTCTGTCTGTCTGTTTTTCTGTCCGTCTATCTGTTTGTCTGTCTCTGTCTTTCTGTCTGTCTGTCTATCCATTCAGACATCTGTTTTCAGACTGTTTTTCCGTCTGTCTCTGTCTGTCTGTCTGTTTATCTAAATGTCAGTTTTTTTTCTCTGTTTTTCATCTGTCTGTCTGTCTGTCTGTCTGTTCATGCATCTGTCCATGCGTCTGTCTGTTTTTTTTTATCTGTTTTTCAGTCCATCTGTCTGTACTTTTGTCTATTCATCTGTTTTTGTGTCTATTTGTTCTTCATTTGTCTATTGCTGTTTTTTGTCTGTCTTTCTGTGTCTCTGTCTTTCCATCTGTCTGTCTGTTCATTCAAACATCTGTTTCTATCTGTTTTTACTGTCTGTCTGTCTGTCTCTCTCTCTCTCTCTCTCTCTCTCTCTCTGTCTGTGTGTGTCTGTCTGTCTGTATGTCTGACTGTCTGTCTGTCATTTTGAACATCTGTTTCCATCTGTTTTTACTGTCTGTCTGTATTTATTTCCATCTGTCTGTCTGTCCATTCAAACAATTTTTTTTGTCTGTCTGTCTTTCTGTATGTCTGTCTGTCTCTCTCTATACATATATACATCGGTTTTTCTGTCTTTCTGGCTTTTCAAGCATTATATTTCCATTTGTCTATCTGTTGTTCTGTCTGTCTGTCCAACTGTCTATCTGTCTATCTATCTATCTATCTATCTATCTATCTATCTATCTATCTATCTATCTATCTATCTATCTATCTATCTATCTATCTGTCTGTCTGTCTGTCTGTCTGTCTGTCTGTCTGTCTGTCTGTCTGTCTGTCTGTCTGTCTGTCTGTCTGTCTGTCTGTCTGTCTGTCTGTCTGTCTGTTTATATTTACATCTGTTTGTTCTTCATCTGTCTATTTCTGTTCGTTTGTCTGTCTTTCTGTCTGTCTGCCTTTCCATATGTCTGTCTGTTTATTCAAACATTCATTTTCTCATCTGTTTTTCCATCAGTCTGTCCGTCCATTTGTCTGTCTGTCCATTCATACATGTTTTTCCATCTGTTTTTTCCATCTGTCTGTCCATTCATACATCTGCATTTTTTATCAGTTTGTTATTCGTCTGTCCGTCTGTCCATCTGTCTGTCTTTCCATTTGCCTAATTGTCTGTCTATCTTTACATTCATATATCTGTCTTTCTGTTTGCGTACATGTCTGTCTATCTGTTATTCTGTCTGTCTATCTAAATGTCTTCCTTTCTGTCCATACGTCTGTCTGTCTTTCTGACTGTCAGTTGATCTGTCTGTCTGTCCATCCATATGCTTGTCTATCAGTCTGTCTGTCTGTGTGTCTGTCTTTTGGTTGGTCTGTCTGTCTGTCCATTTTTATGTCTGTATTTCTATCTGTTTATCTCTGTCCTTCTAACTGTCTGTCTTTCAGTCTATCTGTCTGTTTATCTGTCTGTCTGTGAAGCAGTTCAGTGATGGTAAGGAGCAGATAAAGTGGCTCTCTCAGTAAGTGTGACTGATATGGGCTGATTACTCTTTGACACAGAGCAGGAGACTGGAGAAAACGCAGGAGGAGGAGAGAGAGAGGAGGGCTGGGAGGAATCACCGTAATCAAATGAAAGATTAGCCATGCTCCTTATTTACGGCTGCTGTGTTTAATTGCAGTTTGAGAACGAGATCATCACCAAGCTGGATCACGAGGTGGAGGGAGGCCGCGGAGATGAACAGTACAAAATCCTCTTCCAGAAGATGTGAGCGCACACACACAAGCACACACTCATAGCCCTACTACACAGACTCACTACACACACACACACACACACAGATGGTGATGTTAATATGATAATTATATGAAGCAGCAGAGCAGAACAATTTGTGCCTTTTAATGCAACATCAAATTAAAACTGACCCTAATTAATTTACATTTTTAATCTTATAAATATTTCATATTAAACATATGAAGTTTATTTAAATATATTTAATTTGCATTTAAATGTAAATAACTAGCCTGATTTAATTTAGTTTTATTTAATCTCAATAAATATTTAACAGGTTTTATTATCACTAAAAATAAAATAAAATATAATAAAAATTTAAATATATTTTTCTTTGCTTTTCAAACAAAATAGACATTAAGTGAAATAAAAAAAATAAAAAATAAAATAATAATAATAATAACAATTTAGTCATCTATTAATTTACATTTTTAAATACATTTAATAAAAACAATACAGGCTTCATAGAAAATTAGCAACATTAAACTGAAAACAGTCTAAAATATAATGTAAGCTTGATATATAAAAACCTGTAAATGACATGTTCTTGATCCTGTTGATCTTGATTCATATGTGCAAATGGTCAATATTAATCAATAATATTTTAGCTAACTCATTGAGCATTCATTTAAAGCTGCATTTTAATTTAAAATAACTCATATTAGTGGCGAGTGGACTTAACCAATAAGCAAAGTAAGCAGCTGCTTGGGGCCCTAGAGATTTAGGGCCCTGACCAATGCCAAGTAGCACATATTAGTAATATAGCGCTCTTATGAATTTTCTATCATATTTTGTAAGATTTTAATGTCATTATTTTTAAAACCAGGGGCCCCCATGAATATTGGAATGTTCCTTTCACATTTTTCCTACATTTGCACATGAAAATATCAAAATTTAATCACAAATATGGCTAATAACCCATACAGTACGTATAGTTCATTTGTGTTTTATTTATTTCTTTTTGGTGAATTTATTGTATTCAATTAATTCATAAGTTTATTAACAAAAAAAAAAAGAAAAAAAAATCTACAGAAAAAAAAAATGTCTATAGAGAAAGGTGAGGGTGGTTTGAATTTTAATGCTAGGGCCATGTACCTGGAATTGTTAAAGGGGGCCCCTAAGGGCGTACTCACACTGTGCTATCTGAACCGTGCCCAGGCCCATTTCCCAGATCGTTTGAGAAGTGTAAGTGCACTGAATCGGGCTCAGGAACAGTTCACTTAAGGCTGATTTATACTTCTGCGTCAAACACCGGCGTATGCTACGGCACTGACGCATAGCCCTTCGCCGTGGCCGTCACTGACGTGCACCTCTCAAAAAATTTTCTACACGTCGCAACAATGCGTAGTGCAAGCTCTGTGATTGGTCGGCTGACGAGTCGGGGCGGGACCGAGATCCGTGCGAATGGCGTGAACCCAATCTAGCGATTGTTTACAAGTGTGGAGTCCCGTGAAGAAGCTCCGGATGGAAAGTTTTGTTTTGTGTTTACCTTATAGTTAAAGTTGCTGCACGTCCGCCGGTTCCTGCCTCAAAATGAGCGAGTTTGAGCCACTTGTACATCCCGGAAGTGTTCAGGAAAAGCAAAACAACAGCGAAGAAACTCGACACAGAGGAACATTTACACCTCACTGCCCACTAGCGTTTCTGAAGTGTTAATGCAGACCAACAGAGACAGCGCGCAGAAGTATAAATGCACAGCCACATGCGCCGTGGGTTACGCCGGTCACTTGACGCAGAAGTATAAATCAGGCTTTAGCCGGCCCTGGCCTGGTTGGAAGAGGTGTGCCAGAGCACGGTTCGCTTGGGCTTTGGCGAGGTACGCTTGTAGTGTGAGTGCAAAACGTGCCTGTGCCTGAAACTAAAAGCGAGACGTGACTTTTAAGGGACTGTTTGATATGGATTTATTAATTATTCCTACTGTACAGTGAATGCAAACTGTGGGAGATTATTAAAGACGCAAACCCCTCACTGCACGACAGCTGCACCTTCAGCAAACCTCCTAATACCTGCAGCACGAGACCTTTATGGTTGTTAATGAGCATCAAAAGTGGCGGAACTGTTCGGCGAAATATCTGACTGCTTGTCCCTGCATATCAAACGACTTAAACTATATAACTAAAGAAATCTCCACTGTGCTGAGTGAAAATCGCTTACTGAACAGCGCAGCATAGATGACGTAAGCAAGCCCAGGCCCGAATGAAATTTGAGTACCGGCCACCGGGGGAGACAGGAGGGGGGACAAGCGTGCTTTAGCCTGGTTCAAGGCAACTGTACATAGTGTGAGTACATCCTAAATCACTGAGTCCACCCCTGATTAGTGGTCATTTACAGTATATTCAAGTGCTGGGCTATTTCAATTTCTTAAATTGTTACTTGACATACTTTGCAAATGCTTCTGTATTATGTTATATAAGGACATCCATCCTTAATGTGTATGTTTGTGACAGTTTGTTGGAGCACTGCAGAAAGCACAAGTATCTGGCTAAGACTGGTGAAACCTTCGTGACTCTGGTGGTGCGTCTGTTGGAGAGACTCCTGGACTACAGGACCATCATGCATGATGAAAACAAGGAGAACCGCATGAGCTGCACAGTTAACGTGCTGGTGAGGAGAACGTCTGACTCTTAATCTCTCACTCAAACTCAAAAAATAATGAATTCATTTATTGAAATGACATCATTTCGAAGGAAATCTAGCCAAAGCAAAGCTATTTTTGAGTTTGTATAGCCTTAAGAATACTGAACGGACAGTGCTTTTCACAAATGGCTTCTCACTAGCCGGGTTTCCATCATAACATCAAGCCAATCTTTTGAAAGTTTTTAAAAAACAAATAAGAAAATATACCAAATGTAAGTTAAGCTGTGCTTTATTTCAGAGGCTGCATCCTCTAAAGGATGCATTCGAAGGGCACAGCATCATCACAGCACAACGAAGCTGTCTCGTTTTGAAGGCTCCATCAAATGTAGCCTCAAAATGTGTCCTTAGTTTCCCAGATAATGAAGGACACAACGAGTAGATCCTTTGCGGCCTCAAACAATTTAAGATTCATTGCGAGCTGATAATGTTAGGATGTTTTTAAAAGAAAACTCCAGTTTAATTTAGGTTTTATTTGACATGGACAATTTAACGCATGTTAACAAAAAGAAAATGACACGCGATTTTATAGACAGTTTAAATGTTTTATATGTGCATGTATAGATGAAAGGAAATTGCCTAGACTGGTTGGTTTATCTGGTCAACCAGCCTGGTTTTAGAGGGGTTTTGGCCATTTCCAGGTTGTTTCAGCAATTTCCTGCCTGGTCTTAGCTGGTTAGGCTGGGAGATGACCAGTTAAAACAAGCTTGACTAGCCTTGCCAGGCTGGAAGCCCAGCTAAAACCAGCTATGTCTAGCTTAAACCACTCTGGTCAGCTAAGACCAGGCTGGAAATGGCNGGAAACCAGCCTGAAAATGGCCAAAACCCATCTAAAATCAGCCTGGTCGACCAGCTTAAACCGGCCAACCAGCCTAGGCTGGTTTAAGCAGTTTTTTTTCAGTAGGGAAAACATTATTTATCAATATGTGACACTTTTTGGAGACTCGGAAGCAATTAAAAATATAATACAGGAAATACATTGTGACCATTGTTTTTGTTTACATCCCTCAAAATGGTCTATTTAAACTTCTCAATATTAAAAATTGAAAAGGGGTACCATATTCATTAATTCAAAAGAACAAACGTAAATAAAAGTGTAGCATCAGCGTCTTTCTCTCAGTGTCTGAACTGTTTGGTCGGTAGCTCTGATCTCTCTAAACCCTGCCCTTATAAGACCCTCCTCTGCTCTAATTGGAGTCCAGTCTATTGTGATTGGTCAAAATCAAGTGCCCATTACTAAATGTAAAGTTTGAACACTTGCAGCAAAGTATAACATGAACCATACTATTCCAGTTTCATCTACAGCTAACAGTGTTTCAAGGTCAGAGTAGACATTGTTTAAAGGCAGCAAATGAAGACTATAGTCTGGCATTATGCAAATTAGTTGCCAACTTCATGTAGGTTTGTACAGGAGTTCATTTTAGATGGTTTAATTTCTTCTTTTGCCTGACAATAAATCCATTTGTCGTGACCTTTTACATGCGCAAACAGCTACAATTCACACTCTTTGAAAGATAATATTCGACAAAGCGCAGAAAGGGCACTTTAACCCCATTTCAGAGACTTTGTATAATCATGATTTGTATGAGCTACATGAACACTTGCTTGGTTGCAGGAATCCTTACATTTTAGCATTCGCCAGACTCGCGCTGCATTCAAAGTGCACATTTACATTTTATCAGTTCATGCGTTCCCTGGGAATCAAACCTATGACCTTGGCACATTGTGAGTGGTGTGCTTTACTGTTTAAACCATAGGAAAGCTTTTCTACACACATGTATACTGAGACACACATATAGAGTTGAAGTCAGAATTATTAGCTTATTTGTTTTATTTCGGCTAGAATAAAAGCAGTTTTTTTTAAAAAACCATTTTAACGTCAATATTAATAGCCCCCTTAAAGGGCCATGAAGCCCTTTCCCCCTTGTCTCAGTGTCTCAGGCCCCATTCACACTAATGCGTTTTAGTTTGAAAATGCGTACATTTTGCTACGGTTATGCCATCCGTCCACACTACGCCGGAGTTTTCGAGCGCCGAAAACGGAGCGTTTTGAAAATGCTGGAGAGGCCGTTTTCATTCTAAAACGCTGCTGCTCCGTCTCAGTGTGGATGGGGGAAAACGGAGACGTCTGAAAACGGAGGCTGGACTGCTGAGATTCGCTACCTGGGGTTTTTATGTCATTGCGTATCCTTCCCTTATTCATATAAGCTGATCTGGGATCAGTTTATTGTACAGAGTTTGCATATGAAAAGCGACGATCGACACACAGCTTTAATGTAAAGAAAGTGATGCAGACATTTTAATATTAATTTCAGCGTGCTTTCAAGATTAAAAATATATCAGAAATATGGGAAATACTTAATGATAGGATGATAGTGGGATAGAATGTTAAAATACGGGAGAATTTCGACAGAAATATGGGGGGGTTACATGAAGTGAACAGGAAGTGTTTGTGGAGAAACATCTTTGCGAGATAATGAAAAACATCTTTGCGAGATAACGCAAAACCTCTTTGCGAGGGAACACAGAACATCTTTGAGAGATGACGCAAAACATCTTTGCGAGGGAACACAAAACATCTGCGAATTAAAGCAAAACATCTTTGCTAGGGAACACAAAACATCTTTGCGGGATAACGTAAAACATCTTTAAGAGATAATGCAAAACATATTTGCGAGGGAACACAAAACATCTTTGCGAGGGAACGCAAAACATCTTTGCGAGGGAACACAAAACATCTTTGCTAGGGAACACAAAACATCTGCGAATTAAAGCAAAACATCTTTGCTAGGGAACACAAAACATCTTTGCGGGATAACGTAAAACAGGGGTCTCAAACTCAATTTACCTGGGGGCCGCAGGAGGCAAAGTCTGGGTGAGGCTGGGCCGCATAAGGGATTTCACAAAAAAAAGTCCTCAAATGTCATTATTAACAGTTTTAATTATTTCTTCTGAACATAAAGTATCCTGAACATTAATAGAACATTGAGTGAAGATTATGAACAGTTCTTCTGAACATGGCATCTTTTGCCTACTTCTTGCTGCCAGAGACTTGACAGCGCTTCTTCTCACAAATCTGAACCACATTTGTCTTTAGAGCGGAAGCAGTTGAGACCCTCAGTATGGCTTGAAGATGATCATCATTAAGTCTAGACCTGTACTTTGACTTATTGAAGTCCTAGGGAAAAAAGTGGGGGAACTCACCCAAAACTTCCATTCCCTTACCTAAAAAAAAGGCGTATATATGTATAAATAAAACACCCCCACCCCACTCCAGTCACATCAGTCTGTACCAGTCTGTATCTACCTATAATAAGATGCAGGGCAGGCACGTGCACACATAGGGCTCAACCTGTGCAGAGCACATGCCCTTTTTAGTCTTGCATAGAAAGTGCCCTTCCAAAATGATCAAAAGTGCCCCTGCGACGCGACACACCCTCGGTCCCGCCCTTCAGTAGGCGCGCGATAACACCGCTCTTGAGTACGCGCGCGACAACACAGCTGATCAGAACGCGCGCGACAACGCGCATTGAGTGACAAGCGCGCTGTGTACGGATAGAATCAGCGGAACGGGGAGCGCTCTCTCTCCCTGCTCCGCTGATTCTGTCAGAGTACAACGGTCGGCGCGGGCCACAAAATATTGCACTGAGGGCCGCAAATGGCCCGCGGGCCGCGAGTTTGAGACCCCTGACGTAAAACATCTTTAAGAGATAATGCAAAACATCTTTGCGAGGGAACGCAAAACATCTTTGCGAGGGAACACAAAACATCTTTGCGAGGGAATGCAAAACATCTTTGCTAGGGAACGCAAAACATCTTTGCTAGGGAACACAAAACATCTTTGCGAGATAACGCAAAACATCTTTGCGAGGGGAACACAAAAAAACTTTGCTAGGGAACACAAAACATCTTTGCGGGATAACGTTAAACATCTTTACGGGATAACGTAAAACATCTTTGCGAGGGAACACAAAACATCTCTGCGGGATAACGTAAAACATCTTTGCGGGGGAACACAAAACATCTTTGCGGGATAACGTAAAACATCTTTGCGAGATAATGCAAAACATCTTTGCGGGATAACATAAAACATCTTTGTGAGGGAACACAAAACATCTTTGCGAGATAACGTTAAACATCTTTGCGGGATAACGTAAAACATCTTTGCGGGGGAACACAAAACATCTTTGCGGGATAACGTAAAACATCTTTGCGGGGGAACACAAAACATCTTTGCGGGATAATGTAAAACATCTTTGCGAGATAACATAAAACATCTTTGTGAGGGAACACAAAACATCTTTGCGAGATAATGCAAAACACCTTTGCGGGATAACGTAAAACATCTTTGTGAGGGAATGCAAAACATCTTTGCGAGATAACGTAAAACATCTTTGCGAGATAACGTAAAACATCTTTAAGAGGGAATGCAAAACATTTTTGCGGGATAACGTAAAACATCTTTGCGAGGGAACACAAAACATCTTTGCGGGATAACGTAAAACATCTTTGCGAGGGAATGCAAAACATCTTTGCGGGATAACGTAAAACATCTTTGCGAGGGAATACAAAACATCTTTGCGGGATAACGTAAAATATCTTTAAGAGGGAATGCAAAACATCTTTGCGGGATAACGTAAAACACCTTTGCGAGGGAACACAAAACATCTTTGCGGGATAACGTAAAATATCTTTAAGAGGGAATGCAAAACATCTTTGCGGGATAACGTAAAACACCTTTGCGAGGGAACACAAAACATCTTTGCGGGATAACGTAAAACATCTTTGCGAGGGAACACAAAACATCTTTGCGGGATAACGTAAAACATCTTTGCGAGGGAACACAAAACATCTTTGCGGGATAACGTAAAACATCTTTGCGAGGGAACACAAAACATCTTTGCGGGATAACGTAAAACATCTTTGCGAGGGAATGCAAAACATCTTTGCGGGATAACGTAAAACATCTTTGCGAAGGAACACAAAACATCTTTGCGGGATAACGTAAAACATCTTTGCGAGGGAACACAAAACATCTTTGCGGGATAACGTAAAACATCTTTGCGAGGGAACACAAAACATCTTTGCGGGATAACGCAAAACCTCTTTGCGAGGGAACACAAAACATCTGCGAATTAAAGCAAAACATCTTTGCTAGGGAACACAAAACATCTTTGTGGGATAACGTAAAACATCTTTGAGAGATAATGCAAAACACCTTTGCGAGATAACGTAAAACATCTTTGCGAGATAACGTAAAACATCTTTGCGAGATAACGTAAAACATCTTTGCGAGATAACGCAAAACATCTTTGCGAGGGAACACAAAACATCTTTGCGGGATAACGTAAAACATCTTTGCGAGGGAACACAAAACATCTTTGCGGGATAACGTAAAACATCTTTGCAAGGGAACACAAAACATCTTTGCGGGATAACGCAAAACCTCTTTGCGAGGGAACACAAAACATCTTTGCGGGATAACGTAAAACATCTTTGCGAGATAACGTAAAACATCTTTGCGAGATAACGTAAAACCTCTTTGCGAGGGAACACAAAACATCTTTGCAGGATAACGTAAAACATCTTTGCGAGGGAACACAAAACATCTTTGCGGGATAACGTAAAACATCTTTGCGAGATAACGTAAAACATCTTTGCGAGATAACGTAAAACATCTTTGCGGGGGAACACAAAACATCTTTGCGAGATAACGTAAAACATCTTTGCAGATAACGCAAAACATCTTTGCGAGGGAACACAAAACATCTTTGCAAGGGAACACAAAACATCTTTGCGGGATAACGTAAAACATCTTTGCGGGATAACGTAAAACATCTTTGCGAGATAACGCAAAACATCTTTGCGAGATAAACAAACCTCTTTTATACAATGACTTGACCAATTACACTAACTTGCCTAATGAACCTAGTTAAGCCTTTACGTGTCACTTACATGTGAATACTAGTATCTTGAAAAATATCTAGTTAAATATTATGTACTGTCATCATGGCAAAGATGAAATAAATCAGTTATTAGAAATGAGTTATTAAAACTATTATGTTTAGAAATCTGTTTAAAAAGATCTTCCATTAACCAGAAATTGGGAAACAAATATACAGGGGGGCTCATAATTCAGGAGGGCTAATAATTCTGACTTGAATAATTCAACTGTATACTGAGAGACAAATCCCCATAAATCTGAAGGTGATTTCGGACTCCTCATGTGTTAAACATGACTTTCCTGCTATCATCTCATTGGCCGCTGTTCAGGAACCAAACGCACAAGGACAAGGAGATGTTATAACGAGGATGATGGATTCACCCAGAGCACATTATCTCTCAAATACTCCTTCGGTCTGAGTTTGTATATTCGCTGAACTGCGGTCTGGATGTGTTTAGTATGAATAGGTAAAGAGAACATGACCTTGTGTGTGTGTCTTGTTTTCACTTGCAGAATTTCTACAAGGAGATTGAAAGAGAAGAGATGTACATCAGGTATGATGCTTTATATATCCTTCCTACTAAATGCACGATTTAACCCTGACCTGCATATGAAACTCTCTGTGGTTTGTATGTGTGTTTCCATTGATTGACTGCTGAATATTCAGCTCTGCATCATAGAAATTAGGGATGGGAAGATTAACCGATATGTATCGATACGCGGTCATGCGCGTGCACGATGCGAGTGCATCGGTTGAGCAGCAGAGGATGAATGAAATTTTGGAAGCAAATCGAGATGCATCGGTTTTTGCGAGATGCATCGGTTTTTCCGAGATACAGCTTATATTTTTAATATAGAATGTATTTTTTATTTATTAACAAGTGTTGTCAACCTGTTTTTGGCGCATAATTTAATCGACCTACATAAAGTAAGCCTTAGCAACGGATTTGCGGATGTGTACACTTACACTACAACTCAGTGTATCAGGTGTGCGGATGAAGCTAGTGGTGCGCCCTCAGAAAGCGCTAGAAGCAAAACAAACATTTTATTCCCCACTGAGTTTTAAATCTAAAGTATGGCAACATTATGGATTTAAGGATGGACGACTTGACAGGACAGATGCAATTTGCAAAATGTGCCGCGCATCTGTAAAATACGCGGGCAGTACGAGTAATCTGAAATCTCACTTGAAGCGGCGCCACGGTGTTGTTGTGAAAGCATCTTCCAGTGTTCCTACATCCCCGGCTTTCGCTCTGCTTGAACTGTAGCTACCAGCTCCAAAAGTGGTGAGAAAAGCATTGCAAGTTTTTTTTCCATGCGCAAAAGTTGTGCATGTGCGCTCTATGCCAATAACGGATGTTATTGCATTGTTCATCTGCAGGGCCGGAGCAAGCTGAACTGCTGCTCTAGGCAGAGGACGATCACGCCGCCCTCAACCCCAATGTGAAAACGAAAGTGACCGGTTATGAAAATGAAGTGACGTGTCGCGGACCTCTATTCTGCCGCCCTATGCGCGGATATAACTGAGGACGCGCGGGTGTCGCGGACCTCTATTCTGCCACCCTATGCACGGATATAACTGGGTGTTTTTTTTTTTTAGGCTTTTTCAGGATTAAAACTAAAGAAATATTGAACAAAGTAAAATTTTTCTTTCACATCATTTATATATAGTAAAACTCAAAGTGTCTTCTTGCCAATAATTCCTAATTTTTGTTTGCATACTGTGATCAAGAACTGTTAATATTTTAAATTAGGTAGATATAAATGCCCATAAGTACGGTGCTGGGTAACATACCTTTAACAGCAACCGAAGAGTCAGTAAGCACTGTCGCCCCACAGCAAGAAGGTCACTGGTTAAGTACCAGCTGGGTTAGTTGGCATTTCTGTGTGGAGTTTGCATGATCTCACAATAAAAAAAAATGTTGCTTCACCACAACTCTTTAAATGTCCTTGAGTGGCCCAGCTAGAGCCCAGACCTAAATCCAATTGAACATCTCTGGAAAGATCTGAAACTGGCTGTACACCGTCGCTTCCCATCCAACCTGATAGAGTTTGAAAGGCACTGCAAAGAGGAATAAGCAAAAATTCCCAAAGACAGGTGTGCCAAGCTTGGGGCATCATATTCACAAAGGCTTGAGGCTGTAATCGCTGCCAAAGGTGCATCAACAAAGTATTGAGCAAAGGCTGTGAATACTGATGTACAGGTGATTTTTACAGCTTTTTTTATTTTTAATAAGTTTGCAACTTTCAAAAACTCTTTTTCACATTGCCATTATGGGGTATTGTGTGTAGAATTTTGAGGAAATAAATTAATTAAACATTTTTTTTTTGTAATAAGACTGAAACATGGAAAAAAAGTGAAGTGCTTTCAGTACAAAAAGACGGACTTGACAAATCGTGATAAAATCAGCAAAAAATCCTTTCCAATTTTCTATCTTAGTGCATCTGAAGTAGAAAGAACTAAAGTTTCCTTGTGTTTGGGAGCATAAAGTATATGAATGTCAAGCAAACATGAACTCTGGAGCTGCTCTGAACTGGTGGCCTCTGTGAGTTTGTTCTTGGAGCTTTTTTTTTTTTTTTTTGGTAATGGAGTTTGTGTTCGGATTGTTAATGACATTGTGTGTGTGTGTAGGTACCTGTATAAGCTGTGTGACCTGCATAAAGAGTGTGACAACTATACAGAAGCCGGATACACATTACTGCTGCACGCCAAACTCCTCAAGGTAATTCCACACGCTTGTTTATCTGACTATACGTGCTTTTACCCTTTGAGGAGCTTCTGATGTAAACACAGTGCATTGATTCCTGCTCTCCAACACACACGCCGGTAAATGAACGTTCAGCGTGCGCATGATAGCAGAGTCTCTACTCTCGTTCAGCAGCAGGATCCACAGTATCACATATAATTGAAATGGATAGCTCACAGTTGAAGACGCAGACGGGAATAATTCATGCACATTTCCATTTCTAAGTGTTGAAGTTCTAGAGAAGGATGCTTTTTTTCCCTCTGTAGGTAAGCGAGAGTTTGCACTTCCCATCTGACATTCTGAAAGTTATTTCAAGTGCAGGTTTGAGAACAAAACAGTGTAGAAAAGCACTTAGACTTCTTTAAAACATGGTTACATGCTGCTTAATGTATTCAAATTCATTAGCCATTAGCATTATGTGTAAAACTTATGGAATGTGAAGTATTAAGTATTGAAACTCAAATTAATTCAGCATACTGATGCCCGTTTGGGTTATTTTTTGCATTATATATATTTTTGTCCTGCATTTATTTGCATAATAATGATTTCTTATAAGTTTGTAGATCTGTTTAAGAATATATTCACATTCAAACTGCACTATATTGATTCTTATTTGCAAATGTGATGCATGAAGTTATGAAGTTAATTTAACATGTTGTTATATATATATATATATATATATATATATATATATATATATATATATATATATATATATTAGCGCTGTCAAAATTAGTGCGTTAACGCATGCGATTAATTTTAAATACTTAACACGTTAAAAAAAATTAACGTAATTAACACAGTTGCAGTTTTTTTTACTTCCTGTTGTGGTGGACGTGTGTTTAACATGCAAGAAATGTGGATGAGACCAAGGAAGCACTTTTTGAAGGCAAGTTTCAGTATAAAACAATTAGTTGGATCAGAAGGCAAGTTTCAGTATAAAACAATTAGTTGGATCACAGGTTATCCAGAGTTTCATGCAATTTCGGGTGTTTCATTTTTAACTTTCTGTTGTAAGTTGATACCGCATGGCGAACAGAAAGAAAATCCTCTGCATTTCGTGACTCGGTGTTCCTTTAAGGTAATAAAATATCTGCTTAGGCTACACGGTAGAATTTTAATAAGAGTATAATCTTAATCATATTAAAATCGGAGTATTGGTGTCTTATGTGAATGTACTCAGAAAGTCTCTGGTGAAGTCGCGAGCTGTCAAAGACAGGGCATTACTCTGCCTTTCAGCATGAGCCCTCCAAGTTTAGCGTGTTTCCTCATTAAACGCAACGAAAGCGTATGCTTCGCGTTGTTGTGTCAGAATCCTTGTGAAATGCAGTAATTCTTTAGGACGCTTAGTTTAAGCAAATTTGATGAACGCTATCATGCGTGTTGAATCTGAGGGGAGTCACTCCAGCGCGTTGTGTGTGTGTCTGTGTCATTGTGTGTCTGTGTGTGAGTTGCGCGCGACATACCTGAAGTCTAGGAGGGATGCGGGGGAGAGGGGTGTGCAATGTTTTTAACGACCGGTTTGCAAGAAATTATCATTCATTTACGGGCATTTGGGAGTCTCTGTGTACTTGCGGGATACTCCTAGTCTTAGCAACTGGATGAATGTAAAGGAGGATTAAGCCAAATTGTTTCTACTCTATAACTAATGTTTTCAACTCACAGCAATAAAACTTTACAATGAGTGCAACAGTTTGTATTCAATTGTTTATTATTATAATTTTCCATCTTCCATATCTGCAATTCCTGTATTTTGGAATTTTTTTTGCAGTCCACTTAGAATCCAACATGGAAATCAATGTTTTTTTAATTGGCATTGATAATTTTTAAATTTAAATGTCATTAACATGCCTGTGTTTTAATTTCTGTAATAAATATGGCTGTCAAGCCAGGATCTTGATGGTTTATTGTGGGTATGTTGTTTACAGAAGAAATCTGTGTTACAAGTTAAAAAAAAAATTCTAATAAACAATTATAATTTGAATTTAAATAGTTTTTGTCTTGGTTTACATTAATTTTACATTTGAATAGCCAAAATTACAAGTTTCAGTGTTTTAAATGCGATTAATCGTGATACATTTTTCAAAAAGGTGCGATTAATTAGTTAATTTTTTAATCGATTGACAGCACTAATATATATATATGTTTAAATATATGTCTTAATGTCTTAAATGGTTTAAATTGCACACCCTAAATGTTATGCCAATCACAAAGCTCTTAAAAAATTTAATTTGCACATTTAATAATAATAATAATAATAATAAAACCTTTTATTTTTAGGCGCCTTTCAAAGCACTCCACGACACCTTACAGCAAATCACAAACACATCATAAAAATACAAGCAGTAAAAATTACAATCAGCATAAAATTAAACCAGCAAATCATTAAAAGCTATCCTAAACAAAAACCTTTTTATCTGAGATTTAAAATTGGAAATAGAGTCCATCTGGCGAATGCGCAAAGGCAGGGAATTCCATAACCTTGGTGCTGTACAGCTAAAAGCCCTGCCAACAAATGACTTCATCTTAAAGTGTGGGACAGATAACAGTTCAGCATAAGATGATCTTAGAGAGCGTGAAGGAGTGAACAAATGAAGAAGATCAGAAAGATAGTGGTGGGTCAGGTTATGAAGAGCTTTGTATGTTAAGAGGAGGATTTTGTATTGTATATGATAGTGAACAGGGAGCCAGTGAAGGTGAAAGAGAATTAGAGTTATGTGATCAGAAGTACGCGAGCAGGTAACTATCCTAGCCGCTTAATTCTAAATTAACTGTAGTTGTTAATTTAGTTGTAACTGTAGTAATAATTCCGTGATGTAATCAAGTCATGAACAAGCACTTCAGTACTTTGTTGAGATAGAGAAGGGCGAAGTCTTGCAATGTTACGCAAATGAAAAAAGTGTGAGATATTAATATTTTGAGTACTAAATGAGAGCATGCCATCCAGTATAACCACAAGACTTTTCACGTGGGTTGAGAAATTGACTGGGGAGTTATCAACAAGCAGGGTAAAAGATTGAGCTTTGGATAAAACTGATTTTGAGCCAACCAGAAGGGCTTCAGTTTTACTGGCATTTACTTTAAGGAATTATTAGTCATCCATATATTAGGCCGTACTCACACTATGTACAGTTGCCTCGAACCGAGCCAAAGCACGCTTCTCCCCCCTCCC